AGAAGCACTTATTTCAAATAGGTGTTGCGTACACCTCAACATGCTACTCTTGAAGAACATAAGAAACTACTGAACACATACTATGCAAGCTAGCTTGCACTTCCTAAGACACCCAATGATTCCTGCTCTTGATGCTTTTGAACTAACTGGGCTCGATTCCATTTTCTTTAAATTACACTTTAAAACCATGTAGATGTGCTTCAAAGGCGCGAAAGACAGCGAGAGTGTCACTCAAATGCCTAAAGTGAACAGATATGCGTATATGTGTGACTGCCTGTCGAGTGGATGCAATTTCCCAAGTGGGACTGTGATTCCGTTCGCCACTCTATATTTTTATATCTTTTTTTGTAACCTTTATTTCTTACCCCAGCCTTGAGTAGGAAATGTGACGTGCGTCTGTTTAAAATCTGTGCCTTTCCTTGCTTATGTATCTCTCTCGTGGAGCCAATGATGACAATTCAAAAGCCGCAACAATTACGTGCGATAAAAAAGCGACGTACGGAGAGTTCATTTGCACACGCATGCCCTCGCCACAAGCTCACCATGCCAACTTTATAGGGTCCCATTGGCTCGCATCATTGTGATATCACTGACCCGAGTACAACCTCATGCTCAACCTCGCATCAGGAGGCATAGAAATAAAGCCATCTGCAACAATCTTAATACCACAAACTAGACCAAAGGTATCTTACATCATATATTTCCCAATGAACTAGACATGCGCCTATGAGTTCAAGGGTATTTCTTAGAGTTTTTGTTTTTAGCAACGGGAATCGTTTGGTATGAGAATGTTATAAGTCTTTTTTCGGAAACATTTCACTGTATTGCAGCACAAACTAAAACGAAAGACATGTGCTTTGTCCCCCACGTTACTAAATATTATCATCGCATTGTTGTTGCATTGCGCATTTGTATATTATCGGCATGACTTACAAACTCAGCAGTAAAAACAATAATATATAAGAACGCCATACTAACCATAAAGTATATAGCTAAACAATTAGCTACTAAGATTTTGTGACGTGGCCAATGACTCAGTGATCTTTCCTGCTCAAATAACTTAGATATGTTAATAGAAAAACGACTTCGCCTGTGTAATCAATAGCGTTTACCCCAATAAATAATATATTTTGTTAACAACACCCACTGGGTGAATTTGTAATATTCTTACGGCATTGAATTGACTCACTACGAATGAAGGGCACCATATGTTGAATGCGAAACCTTTTTCAGTGAGCTGCACGGGCTTTGAGCACATCTATCTATCTATCTATCTATCTATCTATCTATCATCTATCTATCTATCTATCTATCTATCTATCTATCTATCTACTATCTATCTATCTATCTATCTATCTATCTATCTAGAGGCCCGTGTACTCAGATTTGGGTGCACGTTAAAGAACCCCAGGTGGTCTCAATTTCCGGAGCCCTCCACTACGGCGTCTCTCATAATCATATAGTGGTTTTGGGACGTTAAACCCCACATATCAATCAATCAATCTATCTATCTATCTATGTATCTATCTATCTATCTGTCTATCTATCTATCTATCTATCTATCTATCTATCTATCTATCTATCTATCTATCTATCTATCTTTAGTACGGAAGGTTAGAAAATAGTACGGGAAGGTTAGAGAGTTTGACGCATATGTCTAGCTGGTAATGACATGATTACCTTAAAAATTCCGTCGCGTAAGTCGTCAGAACTATTCCTATAGACGCGTGTGGCACACGCCCGTATACCTCGGGCCATGGTATGTGGAAATGAAACACGTGTGATTGCAACTGGTTTCTCGCCGAGTCGGTACGCAGTGATATTACAGGAAATTGAGCAACACAGGATGGAGATGGAGACTAGAGAGCAAATGTAAGCGCACAGGTACTACCAACTGATATATTATCAAAAGGACACACTATGTAAATAAGAACACGCTCATGCGCAAAACGCCAGTATCAAAAGCTATCTTGCAAAAAAAAAACCGAACGAAAAGAAGTTCACTGTCGTGCGAAATGATCGATGGCAAGCTGACACACCTTCTGTCGAACAATTTGATATAGCAAACGTCAGCTAACTTTCTTGCTACATGCAGCATCACACCTTCGTTTTCAGATCTTAGTGGAAGTAAACAATGGTACAGATGTACATAAATTGCAATAGAACAGAAGATGAGAACCAATGCCATTTTCAATTGAAAACGCATGTTCTTGTCAGCAGACATTAATACATCTGCCTGTTTGGCCTGTGTACATGTTACGGAAGCTTAACGTGTTACACCACATCCCCGCCACACTCGCTCAAAAAGATGCTCATGCTTTATGTGATAGCAATATTTCAGCTCACCAGCTTTCTTAACACGCCTACAAATGTGAGATAATTTACATGCAGCCAAAAGGACTACTGAGACGTCATATCTGAGAATAGCGAGACGCGTTCGAGTAGGTGATAACAACGGGTCTCGTGTTATTTTCTTGACATCCTACCTTTGCCCTGAAATTCTCGCCGTTATTCTTTTTCTAACAGTGCCTCTGCTATGGAAGCCAATGCGTCGCTGGGATAACCAGAATATTAGAGGCACGAAATTTGCAGGTCAAACCTCCCCTTCATCGTGTAAAAAACAAATTTCTTTATCTCTGAATCCAGGCGTGTAGAAGTAGTCACTCTTTTTTATGTCATGAAAAGTGCTTAGTCAAAGAATAAAAGCTGGTTTGGCACACGTGGTCAGTAAATCCAACAGACACGGCTGTTAAGAACGCTTGAAAAGATATTAAGATAATAAAGCCCGTAATCAACAGGTGTGGCAATCGTGAACTTAAGCCCATTCGCGTGTTCGTTAAACTCGTTTAAATCCAGAGGCACTCGCTGTTGCAACAAAACATCTGGCTATTTTGCCAAGACAATCTAAAATCATCAACATACCAATAGTACAGTGCTACTAAAAAGTTTCCTTGGCCATGTTTCATAGAAACACATAGGTTAGTGGCCTGAAAACTTTTGAATTCTTCCCCCGCCCCCTGTACGTAAAATCCTTGCTACGTGTAATGCCTTATCTTAACATGTATCAACCTCAGCTCAAACTATTTCACTTAACACTGGCGTTAAACATGACCCAATGCAAATTCTTAACCTCTGCGAAAAAAAAATACTGAGTTTCAAAGGAGACAGCAGTGACACTGAAAAGAAATTCCAACATATCTAGGAAGTTTTCTGCGCTGATTTCACGATTATCCTGTAAATCCAAGACCACATTTGCTCTATTCATGATTGAACTGCCCTGAAAAGTCTTTCTGGTGAATTGAATAAATGTAATCTTCCACATCTAAGGAGAAAACATCGCCTAATGATTAGTTATTTTTCAGAAACATTATGGTTTGACTTCAGCTTTTTACGTGAAACGTATCATTCAGTTCTAAACCATCGAGGTGTTTCTGAACGTGTCCGCTAAGTTTCAACTACCAAGACCCATTCTTACTGACTGTGTATTCACCTGAAAGGAGCGCCAGGTCTTTTCGTCTTAGCTGTGAAAAAGAACAAAGCCTTTTTTCTTTGGGGTCAGTTATACCCTTTGCAAGCTATTCAAGCCTAGTTCTTTACTAACTGATGTCGCCCTTAATTTTACTATAAGCGCAGCTTGCTTCACTCGAGGGAAGCAAGCTTCGTTCAGGTTATTCTTAATGGTGCAAAATGTAAGCGGAATGAACAGAATGTAAGTGAAGGGCGACGTGTTGTGACACAAAAGTTTTCGCGCAACCTTTAGCTCAGACAGAAGGGAAAATTACCGAAGCAGTTTCTATGCATGTCAGTAAAGGGCGCGCAAGCAGTCTGTCGCTCGGCCTCCCCAAAAAAATTTACAACGACGCCCTTTGGTCGTGTTCCTTCTTTGGCCTGCCGAAGTCCGCCCATGCTTGAAATAAAATAGTTGCTTGCGAATCACCATGTCCTGTACCTCGTTTTTTTCTGGTCTGTATTGCCCGAAAGCGCATCAAGTGCACAAAGTCGATATCTGCCCACGTGTGGCGACAGCACGCCTTGGTAGTTTAAATGCGAGACTACTAAGAAAAACTGACATCGACTGTGTTGACCCGACGACTACATACATTGTTGGACGACTTGATATGTTTGTTCTTTCTTTTTTGTTGCACTGTTATTCATGCATCACTGAATTATACCCTGCCTTTTTTTCTTCGTGTTCCTTCTTCATCCTGCATAAGTCTGTCCACGCTTAAAATAAAATAGTTCTTTGCACAACACCATGTGTTGTACCTTGTTGTTTTCTGGCCTGTATTTCCTGGCAGCGCATCAAAAGCAGGAAGTATATACCTACTCACAAGTGGCGAAAGCACGCATTCGTAAATAAATGTGAGAGCACTAAATAATGACATCGGCCGTGTTGACATGACAAATGCATACAATAAGTCTGATCATCTCAACACAAATAGCGCTCAAGTATTCTGTTTGGCAACACAGTATTCAACCAAATATGCAAGCCAGATCTCGAAACTATTTGCGGAAAAGACGTTGTGTATGAGCAATGTTTCTGAAACGTGACTTGTGGTTGCAGTGCAACCTGTCTAAATTTATAAACCTTATATAAGCACTCCTACAATACAAGTGCCACGTCAGAATAACGTCAAGCGTGTGCTTAAGCGCTCTGCATTGGATCTATATTCTACGTAGCACTACCCAGGGTTCTATTTTTGCGAGCATAAGTGCGGAAAATCAGCTTACCGCTTGTGGTGTTGCTATTATACATGTTGCTGTTGGTATCATTAGGCTATACTGTAAAGAACCGGTTAATATAAGGAATATGCTGCTGTTCAACATATGTCGGCCCGAAAAAAAATTCTGCATTGCTTTAGCGTAATTCCGTAAAGTTCAGTAAAAAAGTACACATCCTTAACCTCCCTTCCACATGCTTCGCATAACATTTATTTCATGTAACCTTCTAAATACGAGAAAACTAAAGTAGCGAATTGCGTTTTTTTGTGCAAGCTTACCTGAGAAACCGCCTTAGAATGGCGACGACCGCCACAATGACGCGGCTGCGTTTCTGCTTGTTGAGATTAAGGTATAAGACATATCCACTAAAAAGAAAAAAATCATAGCAGAAATGTAAGAAGAATTAGCAGCGTGCACTGTTTAGTTCTTTCTTTGCAAAGAAGTGCCAGGCTAAATAAAATAATCCAAAAGCGCAACTGACAGCTTTATGCAGCCAAAAAGTTGCAACCTAGATGTTTTTTCATTAACTTCTGGCAAAATATTGAATGAAATGAGTAAACACTAACTAAAATAACGCCGCCAGTATGACCTCATGAAAGCAGAGAACCAGGTGACGCCAGTTATTTGATTTGCATCTTTTGACATTTGGTTCTTTTAATGGTGCTAAGAGACAGGGACAAAAAAAGACGGCAGAAGTCACGTCTGTCCAGTATTTCAAGCTGTTCTACGACATTTATATTAGTTAGCGCGGTTTAAAAAATAGTCAAGCTCCAGAAGCATATGAGGCAAAATTTTGAGGTCGATGACAGGAATTCTCACGCGAGTGAAATCTAAAATTATAGAAGCAATGCAATATTTGAATAAAGAAACACTGTTTAGTTGAAGCAATAACTTTCTTGAATGACAGTGGTCTAGCTTCATTCCTTTCCTGCCAATTAGATTAGCGTAAGTCGATGGAACGCTGAACTAAGACTCTACCCTATGAGAAAAAGATTTCAGCCTTTAATAAATAAAGGACTCTCTCATTGTCTCTCTCTCTGTCATCTAAGATTAAAGCAGGGTGTCCCCCGTTAATGCGGACACGACACAATCGTTCGCCCATCTCGTCAATGACCTAACACTTGATCTTTAATATGCACTAAATTAGGTTCCTCATTAGTGCTGAGATTTTTTGTATTTCGGTGTGAATGCCATCATTGCTATGTATTTTTTATATTTTCCTTGATGTGGAGAATCTTCTTATTTTCGTACATAGTATTATATTTTTCTTATAGTTTATTATTCTGTTTTGTCACTGACATTTGTTACGCACTCCTGCTTTGGCCCGAACAGGGCCTGCAGTATTTGTAAATAAATAAATTACGTCTTGTTGTCTTTTAATTTGCATGTGTATTATGTGCCCTGTGAAGCGTCGGAAACTAAACCATCGACTTTGTCTGTAACTGCCGCAAATATTTACCCTAAGATTATGAACCGTTACTAAGGAAATACTTCAGTAGTTAAACTGTGCAATTTGATGGTAATTTGAAAGCACCTGTTAGGAAAAAAAGATCGTTTTTTGTATGGTTCAAGGAGTATTTAAGCAGGAACACACATGTCAGTCAACTGCTTACCGCAGTCAAAATAAAATAAGGCACTGTTTTAAAGAGTACTGGACAAGATTCAAAACTTGCCAACTACTCAGTAGACATTGCAATTTCAGGGAAGATGAATAATACTAAATTTAAATTGTTTCGAATTATTGAAAACAATCAACCACATGACGAAAGTTGCAATGAGAGACCACACTACAGGTTGCGAGAAGAAGAAAAAAACAAGATCCTAAAACAAGAATGATTCAAAGAAAACAAAGTGTTGTGTACCAGATACCTCTTCTTTTGATTATCTTTGAAGGTCAATTCTATTATAAAGCTAGAAATGCCACAATTAAAACGCAAACATGGAACTTAAAATACTAAAATGTGTGCAGTATCACAACTAGTTTGTGGATTTTTATGCAGCAAACAAAACTTCAACATTTGTTAATTTGTATCTCCAATATCTCACTTTACAGCCGATAGCACGCTTAACTCGAATGCTACACTGCTTCGTCTCAACCAGCTTCGACTGACACCAGGGCAACCAGGCGTAAGACATGGCTTTTTTACCAAAGCTGTCGATAGATAGATCGTGGATGGATTTTACTAGTTATTATCTGTAGGACTTCTGCATACCCGGTGGGTGGAATGCTCTCACTCAGCTGGTCCATTTTTTCCCTGCTTCTCTCGTGGCTACGTTATCACGGATGCTAATAAAATTTGTTGCCTTGATTCTTATCGCGACGTGTGAGCTCTAGTACGCATTGGTTAATTGCCAAAATAAGCATTCAGACATCAATTGCTTGAGAACGCGTGAAAATGTAGCCAGGAGCGAAACGTGACGGAATTGGACTTACCGAAGGACTGCATTGAACGCATCAGTCAAGGAGATGTGAAACCAAAATTTACCTGTGAAATTAACCCGCCTTTCATATATCTTTAGCTGCAGTGAAAATTCCGTGTCCCACGTTTCACATCGCTGGCGTCAGTCGAAGCGGGTCGAGGCCACGTGGCGGAGCATTCAAGTTATCTGTGTTGATAGCTGTTCGGTGAAATTTCAGTGCATCCACATGCATTCTGCGTGTTGAGTTTTAACGCAATAGCGTTGAATAGCTCGTTTGGCAGGAGTTTCGGCGTTGACGTCACCATAGCCATCGGCATCGTTGATTACGAGAGAAAATAGTGGCTGAAATATTAATCCAGATGCGAATGAAATAAATTATAAAACTTTCTGGGTTTAGAGTGAGGAGTAGGATTGAACCCGCAGTTCATTTCTCCGGCAAGCAGGTGTTCTACCACAGAGCCAGGCATCTCGTGTGAAACACCTTAAAGTTACCTTCTCTGCTTGGAAATGCAGTGAAAGTAACATTCATGTTTTACCAACACACACTGCAGGCTATAAATTACACGTAGTATCACAGTAATATTGAGTGGTGCAAGCGTATACATTGCTATTGGGCGTCAGGACAGACTAATATTATAAGTATCTAATGGCTTAAAGCCAGCAACCCATTTCAAAAAGGCACCATGTTACTGCGCGTACTTCCCTAAGACAACGTAGAGGGTACGTGGAAAGCTCGAAAATGATTCACGCGCATCAATACCAATTACATCGGTTTAAAGCACGCTGCCCAATACGCAGATGCAGCCACATTCGAAAGCTTCCCTGACGGAAGCCACCTTTATATTCATCGATTACATTGTAGTATTTCACTGTATAAGCTTCTTGAGTAGCACAATGCAATAAAGATCGGCCGATCTCACGTACAGAGGGAATGGATGATACGCGAAACACGAATGAGGAAGGTTGATATTACGCTTAATATTGATATTACGGTTGATATCACAACATTACGCAGCGGACGTAGATTATTTCGTACATGACGTGCTTATAATGAATATTATATTTGGACGTGTATTTACCTGTATTTACCTGTATTACGTGCCGTGTATTTATCACGTCACGTAATACCAAATTTGACATATGCGGAGCTTGTGAAACGACGGTGAGCGCGCTATGAGCGTATTATGTACTCATGTTTTACATGGCATCCATATGATGATTGTCATGTTTGGACGTGTCATATACCTTTGTCGTCCCTTCGCGCCCCGCAATACCAAATTTGGTTGGTACATGTGAAGCTAGCGACACGCCGGCAAGCGCATTATGAGCTTGGCATGAAGTCATCTTCTTGCATGACACGCTGCTCATGTTAATTATATTCGCACCCGTCATATTCGTTTGCATCTATTCACGTCCCGTAATACAAAATTTGGTATATGTCAAGCTAGCGAAACGACCGCGAGCGCACCATAAGCGTGGCGTGTAGTAATGACTTACATGACTTGCATGTCATGATTTCCACGTTAGGTTCTGTCACTTATTCTTGCCGTGCAGTCATATCATACCATATCAGTTTTGCAATATGTCTTGTGAACGAAACCCCCGAAAGAGCTGGAAGACCATGAAACGTAATTCATGACACTCATGACATGCATGCCATGATTTTCGTGTTAAAACTTATGCTCGTCATACACTCACGTCATGCCATACCAATTTTGGTATTGACACGATTATCGAAACGGCCAGGACAGTTAAAAGCCTCGGGCGGCTAGATAGATAGATAGATAGATAGATAGATAGATAGATAGATAGATAGATAGATAGATAGATAGATAGATAGATAGATAGATAGATAGATAGATAGATAGATAGATAGATAGATAGATAGATAGATAGATAGATAGATAGATAGATAGTCGCCAAAAGTCGCTATGAAATGATTCGCATTTAGAAAGTACACATTAGGTTGTTGAAGTATGTGCAAGCTACAAGATTTTGCAACCGCATTCAACCCTTGAAAATGAACCTGAAGGTTTCCCCAATTTCATTCGTGATTTTGTAAAGATTAAGCCCAATGCAGAGTGCTATACAGTGGCAATAACTAAAGTCAAAGAACTGTGACAAATTCCCTCTATCTCTCTGCAGTTTGTGACATAGCATAAGCTTCGAAATGAGTTCCCTGGAAAATTATGAAATCATTGGTTTCACAGTAGTGGACAATTGATGGATATGTGCGGTTTAACGTCCCAAAACCACCATATGATTATGAAAGACGCCGTAGTGGAGGGCTCCGGAAATTTCGACCACCTGGGGTTCTTTGACGTGCACCCAAATCTGAGCACACGGGCCTACAACATTTCCGCCTCCATCGGAAATGCAGCCGCCGCAGCCGGGATCCGAACCCGCGACGTGCGGGTCAGTAGCCGAGTACCTTAGTCACTAGACCAGCGCGGCGGGGCACAGTAGAGGACAACAAGCACTTTGCAAGAGTACACGACAAACTCAGAAGTGAACAAAATAAAAGTTTATATAGCATCATCGCATACCTAATACAGTAAATGTCGCTCTCGCAGATGTACACAACAAAACAAAACCATAGAAATTCCAACAAATGTCGAGGACACTTGAGTGTCGCCTTTAAATAATGAACGCGAAACTATATCCAGCCTAGTGACTACTTCAACAACTTAGTGCATACATTTTATCAACCCGAAAGTGTTTTATGCCGAGGTCCACCACGGCTCCACTGACGTACTTCCGTCAAAAAAGTTACTTAGAAAAATATTTACAAATAAATGGCAGAAAAAAAAACAACCAGAAGGCAAGACTTTGTCGCGTGGAATTAAACTTACAAACCAGTTAATTACCAGGGCGTGGCGCTAAACACTACGCCATGGACCGCGTTTTGTGGGTAACGCTAACGGCAAGCTATGCATGCGTGCACACCGCCCACCGTTTGGCAATTTTTTGAGCTTCGAAACTTAAGCGTGTTTTTGTTATCAGTGGCGGGATGGTGCGACGTGCTGGCGTTGAGCGCCCTCTAAATGTTGTCGTCTTCACGAAGCACCACCTCCACGGAGCGTGGTCTTTCCTGCGCGTGGGCTTATAAGACTCGTAATTCTGCAGAAGACATAAGTCACTAAGCTTTTTGCCGCGACCGCGTTTACCATAAGAGAGCGCTGCTGACAGAGAACGCAAGAAGAATTTTAGCAGTTGTTCGCGCTTGTGCGGCGTATACTTGTGCGCTCGCTTCATGCGTCTTTCGTTCTGTTTTAACAGCGCACTTTAAGTGTTCAGCTGGGACCTTTGTTAGTCTGCGCTCGTCCTATCTATGTTTATTTCGTGCATGCTCTCTGCATGAGGTGTGCGCTGGAATTTTCTAGCTGCTTTCTCTTCTTAAGGTGACTTTAAAATTCGTTGTTGTTAGTGAAACAATGCATAGTACAGCCTAAACGTTTCTTTAAAGACAAGCTTCACTTTCTGGTTAGGACGTATTATATAAAGGAGGATAAAGCACGTTTTTGTATGAGGTTACTCGAGAATATAAATCGTGGCTTACTACAATGTAACCAATAGGAGTTAAAGGGAGCTTGTTTTAGTAAAGCTTTCACATTGGCGGCCATTTGTGTAATGGGTAGCTTGCTCTGAACTACGAGCAATTGTGCGCCTGAAGTGTTTTCGAACTTGCTATGCACTCACCACATTGTCTTAAGAGAATACATTCAGCAACGTATGTGCCTTTGGTAATAGTTGCCCGGCTTCAAACCACGGAATTGCTAGGATAATCACATGTTCTCTCGCCTGATGGCATTACACGCTTGTACCGCGCATAATTACTTTGATATTATATGTTGTATTGTGAAGTGTGTATACAGAATACGTGTGTTTGTAAAGCAGGAGTGTTATTTCCACTGCATATCTATCCAGAGGAAGTTGGTTTCATTGTATTTTCAAGCAGATGCATGGCTCTTTAGAAGAACGCCTGCTTATCACGCAAATGGCCGGGGTTTGATGCTCACTGCACCCGGATATTTTTTTATTATTTATTTGCATCTTTCACAATTTTTTCAGTCAAGGCCAGGTTGGTTTTTCGCTATCCAGTGACAGCAACGCTGACGCCAGCACCAACACCGAAATTTCTGCGAAACAAGCTCTTTGACGCTGTCGCGTTAAAATAAGTAATATAGAAAACTTACCTTATGAAGAAAAATGTATCTACAGCTATGAAGCCTGCTGACATAATAGGTGACTCCCAGCTTTCGAAAATGTTTACAGCATTAAAGATCCTTGCTGAAAGAAAGAAAAAATAAGAGGGCGTAATTTTATGCTTGTTCAGAAGGCTGTTTCATTCTAGCATACACTCATATTGTCAGGTTCTCTTCAAAAACAAAAACAAATGGAAGGATCATTCTGCCATACGTGGGAAGCAATGCATGTGGTAGCATTCGATGGGATCATCATAAAATGTAAGGCTTGTACAAGACACACGCCACTCAACACAATGCTGAGTTAAGTAGTAGTAGTAGTACAAAACTTTATTATATACATCTCCAGACAGGCTTGAACTCCGGTGCCCCGAAGAATATACGGGGTGGAGAGCGAAGTCTGTCCGGTAGGGTGGTGCCCCTATTTCAGGGCCCCACTGGCGCGAGCCATCCGTTCAGCTCTTTGGATCAGTCGTAGCTGATCCACTAAGGCTGGGCTAGACAGCAGCGCCTCCCATTTCTCCCACGTGCCAGTGGTGTCGTGCTCTTCGTCGTGCTCTGCACACTCCCACGTGATGTGAAACAGTGTTGGGGTGGCTCCACACCACGGGCACATATCTCTGTACGCCGTGGGGTAGATCAGGTGAAGAGTGTGCAGATTTATGTAAGTGTTAGTCTGTATTTTTTTTAGCGCTGTTGCCTCCGCAGCGCTGAGCTTGCTGTGAGGACGTGGATACAGCTGCCTATTTTCTCTGTAGTACTTTAAAATTGTTGCGAAGCAAGGGTCCAGGGGTGTAGGGTCATCACTTGCATTGGCTTGAGTGGCTCGGTGATTTGTGAAGCCTCGAGCCACCTCATCCGCGCGCAGGTTCCCTGTCACACCCTCGTGCCCCGGTGCCCAAGTCACAGCCTGTACGTATTTCACTGTGGGGTCCCATCCTGGCCCAACCAATATACGGAGTGCTTGTGCTACAATTTTGCCCTTTAGATAGTTTCTGCAAGCTTTTTGCGAATCTGAAATGATTGTTAATGGAGCGTTTCGCGTCCATCCCTCTTTTATGGCGAGTGCTATGGCAACTTCTTCTGCTTGTGTTGTCGACGCCTGATCTATTGAAGCGCAGGCTTTAATTTTCCCTCTATGGTCGGTGGCTACACACACATATCTCTTTGCATTGGTCTGATAAGGCGCGGCGTCAGTGAATCTGGCCGTGTGTTCAAAAATCTTGTCTTTTTGTCTATGTAGTCAGCCCTTGCCTTTCTTCTTCCAGCATGCAGAGTAGGATCCATGTTGCTTGGTATTGGCAATACGGTGTACCATTTTCTGAATTCGCGTGGTACTTCTTTAGTTTCTTGGTGTGTTTGTAATAAAGTATAGCGCCCTAGTTTTGTTAGGACTGCTCTGCCCGTTGGGGTCTGGAAAAGGCGATTTTCTTGCGCTAGTAACTGGGCCTCGGATAATTCTTCAATTGTGTTATGAAGACCAAGCGCCAGCAGCTTGTCGTTTGAAGTATTCCGCGGTAATCTCAGGGTTTTCGTGTAGGCCATTCTAATTATTTGGTTTGCTTTTTCCTTCTCTTCCCTGTTCATAATTTGACATGGAAGCGAGTATGTATTGCGACTGATGACGAGGCTTTTGACCAATTTTAGGGTATCTTGTTCTCTCATGCCTTTATGGTTGTTTGTTATTCGCGAGATCATGCGTGAGATCTGCTGTACAGATGTTTTGAGTTGATTTAGTGTGTGCAGACATCTCTGATTAGCTTGAAGCCACATTCCTAGTATGCGTACGGTATCTTTCTCCGGAATGACATTTCCGTCGAGCTTGACTTCCAACTTTAGATTCGGGTCGACCCTCCGTGTTTTTCTCTTCGTGAAGCGAATGAGCTCTGACTTTTCGGCTGAGCACTGAAGACCCCGTATCCTTGCGTACTATTCTATGGTGTTAGCTCCCTGTTGTAACCTATCTTCTTTTTCTGCTAGACTGCCTGTGGTTGTCCATACCGTAATATCGTCTGCATATATCGCATGTTGTAGACCGGCAATATCTTTGAGTTTTCCAGCAAGGCCTGTCATGGCGACATTGAAAAGTGTCGGTGAAATGACCGCTCCTTGGGGTGTTCCTTTGTTTGGAGGTTTAATGATGTCGGATTCGTAATCTCCCAGCTTGATTGTTGCAGTCCTGTTACTAAGAAAACTTTTGACGTAGTCGAACATTCGTTCTCCACAGTTAGCTTCCTCCAGACCTTCTAGTATTGCTTTGTGACTGATGTTATCAAAGGCTCCCTTCATGTCAACTGCATAACGACGTTTTCCCCAACCTTAGAGATGTCCATTAATACTTGTTCTTTTAAAAGTAGTAGAACATCTTGCGTAGAAAGGTGTGAGCAAAAGCCAAACATAGTTTAGGGCATGAGGTTGTTCTTCTCGAGATGGTTGAGGAGCCTGGTGTTCACCAGTTTTTCAAAGATTTTTCCTAAGCAGGACGTGAGCGAGATAGGTCTCATGTTCTCAATGGCAAGTTTTTTTCCTGGTTTAGGCACCATGACCACAATCGCATGTTTCCATTCTGGTGGGACAGTTCCAGCCAGCCAATGTTTGTTTATGTATTTAGTGAGAGCTTCAATGCCTTCGTCATTTAGGTTCCTGATCATACCATTTGTGATTTTATCTGCACCCGCGGCTGTGTTCTTCTTGTTACTAAATATGGCTGCTCTTATCTCAGCGTCCGTAAAAGGCTTGTCTAAATCAGGTTGCGGTGATCCTTTATACCTTCCTTGATATGAAGGCGTCGCTCCGTCTTCCCCAAAGCATTTTATATGCATGGCTTGAATGAGGTCCTCTTTTGTACCTGGGTATAAGTGCAGCAATCGCTCAACGGCTTTACTGTTTTAAATTTTGTCTTCGTGGGGTCTATCATGGTTTTCAGTATGTTCCATGTTTTGGCCGTACTCAGCGTTCCATGGAGTGAATCACAGAAATTGGCCCAATTAGTTGCAGCTAATTGATTGGCGTAACCCTCTGCGCGCTGGGTGATATCTTTGATTTTTTCTTTCAATTAACGGTTACGTGTCTGTCTTTTCCATCTTTTGGTAAGGCTTCTTCTTGCTTCCGAAAGATGTAGTAGGTGTGAGTCGACCTCAGGGGCATTGCTTGATCGCGTAATTTCTTTACTGTACCTTTCTTTTTGACGCCTTATTTCGTCACACCAATCACTCAAGCTTGATATATCTGAGGCAGTCAACCTTTGTTCCAGTGATTTTCTGAACGCATGTTAATTAGTTAATTTGGCAACGCCAATCTTTTTACGTATCTGATCTGTGTGTATAGTGGTGCATAATATGTAATGATCACTGCCTAGATTTTCTAGAGTGTTGTGCCATTCCACCTCTTGACAATTTTTGCACATAGTTAGATCGGGTGTCGTGTCTCTGGAGTTACTGTTTCCTAGTCTTGTTGGCAATGCTGGATTCGTCAGGAATGTCATACCTGTAATTTCAATTTGCTGGGCTATGTTTCTGCCCTGGGCATCCTGAGTGAGGTATCCCCAGCTTGGGTCTTTTGCATTGAAGTCCCCCACAACTATTAGCGTGTTCTGCTTCGCTAGTTTAGCTGAATCTTCAAATAGTTTGTCGAAAGTTGCCTTTCTCTGTCGAGGTGGGCTATAAATGTTCAGGATGAAAATGCTTTTCTTTTTTTTCTCTTTATATAGGATTTCCGAAATGATATGTGAGATTTCGATTCCTTCTATTGGTTTATGCTGTATTGCGGTTATGGATTTGTGGACTAATGTCGCCACTCTCCATTCGTTGTTATTATTCACAGCTTCACCATGAGTGTCATAACCCTGCATGCTTGGCCTTATTCCCACCTCTTGGAGAGCTATCACAGCAGGTGGCCTCGGCTGCATGGCCACCAGCTGTGAAAGCTGTTCCTTTTTTCGTCGGAATCCCCGGCAGTTTCACTGCCATATGTCACACTCTTCCGTAGTTTTTCTTAGTCGCTTATCCATTGTCAGTATCTTCTTGTGTCATATTAAGTAGGCCCGGCCTAATGTATGCCTTATCTGCTTTTTCCCTTATGTGGCTGCTATTGGTATGCTTTCTCAACGCCTTCGTGAGTTCTATCTGTTGCGCTTGAATTATCTTTCCAACACGTCGAGTTTTCTGTCTACCTGCCCCATGACCTGTTCAACGATGTAGGGAACTATTTCTTTTACGGCTTCTTTCAGAATGACTATCGTCACCACAGTGTCGCCGTTCAATATTGATACGCTTTGTTGCTGTTGCTGCTGCTGTTCCGCCAAGGAAGATTGAGTGGGTTTCTCTTGTGGTTGTTGCTGCTGCTGCTTTTGTTGGCTTCTAAGTTGCCTATTTTCTCTTTCTAAGTCCCCCATTCTTACACGCATTAACTCTAGTTCTCGCTCGAGTCGCGCGAGCTGTGTGTGTGTTGATTGCGCTTGGTTTGGAAGAGGTTGGGAGGCTGCCGCTGCCCAGCTTACCCTTAATTTCTGGTGGTGGTGGTGGTGGTGGTGGTGCTGCTGCTGCTGCTGCTGTTGTTGTTGTTGTTGCTGCTGCTGCTGCTGCTGTTGCTGCTGCTGCTGCTGTTGCTATTGGTGGTAGTGGTGCTGCTGCTGTTGCTGCGATGTCTTCTTGAGCTTCTTGTTTTTGTTCGTCTTGCTTTCTTCTTGCCGAGTGCCTTTGGGGCTGAAGTGGTCTCGGGAATTCAATCTGGACCTTAATCTCGAGCGGGAACTGGATCAAGATCCGGAGCGTGATCCTGTGTCGGACCCCTCCATTAAATCCATATCCTGCCTTTCGGTGCTGAACCACCGACGCTTCAGTATTCCTGGAGATCGGTGTCCATTTTCGTGTCTAAGCTGTTGTACCTGATCTTTTCCCCGTTGGGAGACTTCTTAAGTCATTTAGTGCATTCTTTTGCCGCCGTTGGATGATCCCCGCCACATGATGCACACTTGGGAACGCACTCGTGGTCGTTTGGAGGGTCTTAAGCCTGCAGCCACCACACACATTCACAGTGGGTGTTGGACAGACGTCCGTCCTGTGGCCTTGGCTTTTACACAGTTTA